AGAGAGCAGACATCCTTCCTTCCAGTAGGTCCCTCCGCCACCGCTGCCGCCCCCCGCAACGCCGCTTCCGGAGTTCCTGCTGCCCAGGCCAGGGGTTTTGCCCGCAGAAGAGGAGGGTGGTGAAGGGGAGGCCCCCTCGCCCCCGCTGCCGCCCCTATGCGACGCTTTTCCCTTCCCGGCCCCTGGGCGGCGGCGGCTGCGGAGCGCCCCCCTCCCTTTCCCCGGAGCCGCTGCCGGCTCCTCCTCCTTCTCCTCCCCCTCCTACTCCTTCCCAGAGGGGAGGGGGTTCCCCGAGTTTTGAGGGCACAGACTCTAGCTCCCGGGGCGGCTCCTCCAGCGGCCCCGGCCTCTTGCCGCCCACAGTGGCCAGGGTCGTCGAGGGGGACGCTTCAGCACCAGCCGCCGGCTGGACAGCTCCCGGAGCGGCCCCTTTGGGCGCCAGGGGCGCCGCCTTCTCGGCCCCGCCTACGCCCCCACGAGTGCTTGCCGGAGGCGCCCCACGACTGCCGGTCTTGTTACCCTGCTGCTGCAGCTGCAGCTGCTGCTGCCGAACGGAATTGAGTTTAGTGCCAGCCCCCGCCGTGGACCGGGTGGCCGAGGTTGTCTGTCGGAGTGAATTGTCCCTCGGCCTGGCGGGTGATTGAGCTCTTTGCTGCTTTCTGCTGCTGCCCTCCGGGTGCAGGCGAGCCTCGGGGCGACAGAAGCTGCGGCTGCGACAGGGGCAGCGCCCCCAGTCGGTGGCTGACTCATGGCAGTCTAGGAAGAACCCGCCGGATGCAATAGGGAATCGTCCATCACTAGATCAACCTCTTCCCTCCTCACTGCTACCAACCTTCCTTTCAAAGCTGGGACAGAAACAAAAGAAGGGAAGTACATAGGATATCTGCACTGTTACAGAGCAAAGGATGATTTTGCTGAACCAGAGAAGCCCCAGAAAATGATGACATTTGGGAGGTGCTTAATAAGCCGGCAGTTCTTATTTTGCACAGGGTGGCGCTGTTTCCATCTCATCCCACTCAGTAAAATGATGACGGGTCAGAAAGCAGTTGAACCTTACATTCTCAGGGTAGCAGGTTTTAGAAAGGGTGAGATACAGAAGCCAGAAAGAAATTGATGGAGGAAATATACAGTACAAAAAAAAGAGGATAGGGTCGAGAAGAAGCTTTAGAAAGAAAAGGGGATGTCAGACCCCAGCTTTTTCAATTTTGACTTTCCTCACCAGCAAACCTGTATTTAAAGCCTAGTTTAATGGAAAAAGCCATATTTAATTATTAATAGTGTGCCCCCAAGTGTCAGTTAGAAGGTTTATGTTGGGTTCCTGGAGAAAATTTGCTATGGAATAATGACACTTCTCTCAAGTAGACCCAATTGTCTTTAGATTAATACACCCTATTTTTTTTTAGAATAAAACTAAAAGAAAACATAAATAATGAATGATTAAATCAACCTCCATTTTGAAAAAACAATGGCATTAGGGATCTCTCTATGGTTTAGTCATTAGCAATCCTAAAGAGATTTCGTATCAGCTCTAGGAAATAATTTTTGAAAATATTTTTGGTAAACTAGAGGAGCTGCTCTGCGCAACTTGTTAAGTTTCAGATTATGATTTTTTCTATGCTTACCATTTCTGTGGTTCTTGAGCATTGCTTCAATTTTAGGTGTAATTGCTAGATAAGAGTCTTCTTACTATGTCATAGGTATGTTATTCTTTTAACGTGCCCATTCCTTACTAGCAAACCAAATTCTCCTGCACCTAGAAGGAGGAGCATCTTCCTTATGGTGGAAACGTCAGCTTCCATTGTGTATCTTTCCAAGGTACATCTGTCACTGGCTTCTTTAATCTGGAAAACTGTAGCTACTGCCTCCCGGGCTTCTCCTTGGTGATTCAGTTGCCTAGTCAGCTAGTCAATTTGGTGCCTTTCCCTAAGAAATATTATTTCTCTCTAGAGCACTGAAAAGGGCATGACTAGGCATAAAGTTTTTCTGCTTTAAAAAAAAAAATCTCTTATTCAGAGAGGAAGAGTCTGCTAGTCATTTTACCTGCCTTGTTTCTGTTATTGTCTATTTTAAGTATCATAACTTAGCATGCAGTAAGTTATACAAAGAAATATTACTGGAGGGCTCCTTCTCTACCTCCCCTTCTGTTTCTGGAATCTCCTTTCAACTCACTTTGGAATATAAAGGGGAACAAAGAAGATATTGGGGGAATGCCCATTAACTTATTTCCCACACCTTCTCCAGTAGCCATGCAACCTCAATCTCTGGCCTAGTTCATCAGCAAGGGTCACACCAACCTGGTGCACCCAACCAAGTTATTTTGCCAATGCAAAGTTATTTTTAAGGAGGTAGAACCACTAGGAAGCTAAGAAGCCATGAGACAACTTTAAAACCCAACCCCCAGGCAGCTTTAACCTCTGGGGAAAGCTCAGTTCCGGTAACTAGGTAACTACACTCAGCAATCAAGGGTACCTCACTGTTGTCACGTGGTTCTCATAAAGGGACAAGATGCTGCGTTTCTTCAAAGCTTCCCCTGAAAATCTCCACCCAAATAACCCCAACACGACCCAATCCAGCACTTTTAATGTCAAGTTTTATCTGCCCGCTGCCCCTCCCCATCCCTTTAGAAATCCAGAACTGCTCACTTTTCGGCGGGGGCGATGTTTAGAAGTTGAATGCAAATCGACAGCGCTTTCCGTCTGATATTCCGGAGACCTCGGGGTTTGTTCTTGTCTTTCAGAGTCGAGGAAAGTTCAACTCCGTAATATTGTACCTGACTTTCTGGCGGAGCGTGACTTTGGTCGCTAGCCCCAGTTTCACACTCACTTGATTTTTCCAAACAATGGCGATAACGTCGAGACTTGGTGGCCCCCAGAGTAGCCTACGTCCGGGCGGTCGCCGGCCGAGCTGGGGCTGCAGCTTGCAGCACGCGAGGTACCAAGCTGTGCCAGACGCTCCCCAGGAAGTGCAGCGATATTCATGAGCTGACCTCACCGGACTAGGCAGGGGAGAGGGCGGGATCGCGAGGGAGGCTAGGGTAAAGTAACCAAAGAGAGGTTACTTTCTAGAGGAAAGAAAAGGCCGGGACTGGGGCACGGGTGGGGAGCGGGGGACCAGAAGACAAAAAGGCCAGAGACACACCCGAGATGGAAGACTGGCAGCGGCGGCGCTCAAAGTCCTTGCTCCACTGTCACATCCAGGACTTGGCAGAAGATTCCGAAAGCGCTTGAAATCGGATGCACTGGTTTCCTGCAAGGCTTTGTACTGGGTCGGATCAATCTCCATTAATTATTTACTTGAGCTCTTTTCCCAGGGAGGCGGACTCCAGCAGCCTTCCGGCCCTGACTGACGTCTCCTGGAGCAGCTGTGTGGCGCAGGCGGGCGGCTGTGGGGAGTTCTCTTTGTTCACTCACTTTAATTCTCAGCCGAGCTCTCCACGCGGTGCTCCCTCCCCACCCCCAGCCCGGGCGGAGTCACCAGACGTCGTTTCCACGAATAGATAATGGTTGCCAGACTCACCGTCCCACAGACAAAGGGTTCTAACGAAGCCGCGACTAATTTGCTGCAAACTGAATAAATAGCGGCTTACAAAGATCTTTTACAGACGGGTTTGTCGTCAGCACATTTTAATCTTTTCTTTACTGAGTGCCAGATTCCACTGTGAAAAAAGGAGCAATTGCTGTGATCCAAAATCTTTATTGTAGTGCCTGTGAGTAACAGGCTTACATTTGTAAGATATAAGCTTAAAAGGAAATTCGCAATGAAGAAGGGGGAACGCAATGCATGCCTTTACAGTGTAGAGTAACTCACACTGTTCCACAGTAATAATATTCTTAAAAACGGAGTGCAAATTCCTCTTTTTCTCTTCCATGATTTGAGGGGGGAGTGGGAAGGGTGATGGTATGTGGAGTCTCCCTCCCTCCACTAAGAATTCCTTTGTGAGCCTAAATATGACAGTGAAAGTAAACCCTACTTTAGAAAGGGCAATTTTTTGAAATTAAATTTTACTTACATTAACCTGGTGGTTTCATAGATAAAAGGAGGCAAATATCTCAAAACAATAATAATCATTTATGCTAACATAAATGCTAGTGTATGAGATTCTATTTTCTGGCTGTAGATGTTGTATTTAAAATGAAATTAAAACAATTTAGAAGGAGTTTCTCATACCAGAAATCATTACAGCAAAACAAAAACATGTTCAGTCCCTGATGATCAATGTCTTCAGTGACAGGTAAGACAAATATGGCCTCGCAACAAAGTCATCCACGTTCCAAATGAATTATTAAAAGCCTAGCTTGTGCCCAGCACTGTCCAAGGTGCTAGGGATGCAAAGATAAATCAAGAAATTGTCCTTCTGCCTGCGAGGCTCAAGAATATTAGCGAGAATTGAGACAATTGAGATAACTTTCTTATTCTCTTTTGAATAGTTTTAGAAGGTGGAAAAAATGCCATGTGTGACATCCTTAACAATACGTCAAACCTTAACTAGTATAGCAAAAAAAAAAAAAAAAAGAAAAAAGGAAAGGGAAAATGAAGGCAAGACATTTGTGGGACACAGAAAAGGTTTATTACATGTTGATAATAATGTGTATAGTATTCTCAACTGGACTGGTCTAAGATGTTTTTCATGTTGGGTAAATTCTCTTCACAAGCCAAACGATGTATAGCAATCGAATGTTTAAAAAAGTAAGAATAATAATTAAAAAAAAATTTTAAGTGGAGTGAGATGCAAGCTGCTAAGATGCTGTGCTCTGTAGGCTAGGACCACATGGGAGGTCCATGTTTGATTCCTGGTTCAACCTAAAGGCCTGGTATGGTGGTACATGCCTGTGGTTGCAGTTACTCAGGGACAGAGGCAGAGGATCACTTCATGGTAAGATCCTATCTGTAAAAGAAAAAAAAAAAAAAAAAAAGGAAAAAAGTGAAGTGAAAATGTAGTCACAAATTGTTTTGAATTTATATTAGGCAATTTCTCATTGTGTGCTCAAGCTTGAGTTGCAATATCCTTTGAAAATACCAGCTCTACAGTTGTAATTCAAATAAAATGGATAAATGTTTCTTCAGGTCAATCCTTACTAATAAAATATTGATACTATAAACAGAATCTAAAAACACAAACCATACTTGGGTTTGCTTCTCTAAGAAATTGTAATC